AGCTACTATCTGGCTTTTCCACTTACAAGGTATCTTAACTACCTTAATGTATCCAAACAATTGTTCAATTAAAAAAAAGTGTCTAAAAATACACTTAGGACTGCAAACATCGCTGTAAAATGTCTGTACTATCAGCATAGTCTGTTTCATATTTTTAATTTTATATTTTATCAATCAAGTTTCTTAAATGTACTGTACCTCCCTGGTAGTCATTTAGTATTTAAGAAGAAAAGTAAGAACTATCAGCTTTCATGGGCTTTCTTGTTTGAAAAATAATTATTTTGACTATTAAAGCTGCCAGAAACTTAATAAAATAGTACATATAGTAGACTACAGTATTACCTTCTTCCACCTTGAAGTATATTCACACGATTACGTCTGGACCATACCATACAGCTTGACCCATTATTCTGAATAAGATAACTCTATTTTATCTCTCCACAACAAGACCACAACACATGAAATATTAATTGCCCATAGAAATTATTTCCCCAATAATTGTGCAAAAATTTCAGGCTTCTAACATGTTTTTAGTTTCCTTTTAAAGGAACATCAAAAATAACTGATTTTTTTTTCCTGAGCAAGCATTCTCCTACTGAAATGCAAAAAGCTTATAACAGATGTGTGATAAGGACTGCATTCATTAAAGTCAGCTATCCATCAGTCACAGTAAAACTTTCCTTAAAACATGCAATGTAATTTGCATAAACCCCTGCTCACTGTTACTGAGTGCTAGTTAACGAATCATTCCTTTCATTTCATACTACAGTACCTCATGAAGTATTATCATTACTTAGAACAAGAGAATATTTGGAAATCATTACATTTTCTTACTTTGTGCTACATATGCTATGCACCTATCCTGCAAATGCAAACCTCCATTTTTCTATACAGTTCCTTAGTAATCCTGAGGATCTCCACTAATATTTTTATACAAACAAGGAACTACCTGACTGAGGTTGTAACTAGCAAAATTAGAAGTCTGGATAGACTTACTGCATTATGGAATACAAACTTCATTACATTTACTAAAAATGATCTGCAGTTGAAAACAGAATGCTTTTTATAGTTAGATTTTAAACTCAGCATACTGAGATGACTATGAACAGCTCACATCTCCCGCTCTGCTGACTCTCATGAGTCAGTCACGAGTCTCATTACATTTAGTGGTGGCTTTTACACCCCACTTCCAGATTCACAGTATTTCAAACAAATAAGACTTAGGTTCTGGGCCTCATGCTTCAGGAGAAAAAGCCCTCAAAAATGAAGCCTAAAGGCTATGATACAGCAGAACAATAAGGAGAGGCCAAGAATATTAATTTTTAATGATACGTAATTTGGAGGGATCTGTTACATGTAATGGAATAAGGTAAATAGTCCTCTGAGCCGGCACGAACCAAGTTAACTTGAAGAATACGCATCAAGCTGGGCAGGCGCACTCCTGGCACAACACACCACCACCACGGCAATGCTGCTTCTAGGACCCGATCTGCCAGCTCTGCACAGCAGAACAACGCACCATGTACACAAAACAGCTCAGTTTTGAAAAACCCAGGGGGATTTCTAGCACGGTTGTACATTTTCTCATGCATAGATGATCACCAAATTGCTGTTTCAGGCTGTCTATGAAGTAAACAAGACAACCCTGCATCAGATTACATTCAGTTCTTGCTTTCAAAGTTCAGTTCTGTTAGGACTAAAATTATTTTCTTTAAAGGAAAAAAGAAAAGCTTAGGTTTTTCATAAATTCCACAGCAACAAGAAGGCTTCACGCACGTTCTGTGACCTGAAACCTTGCCTACAATTTTCAGTAAACCAGTTAACAAATTCAAGGTTAACCTAAGTCAGTCATCTTTAAAGAAATCCGACTAATGTCATATTATGTTTTACATAACAATCACAGTCAGCATTATGTTTCAACTATTATGTAGACCAATGAAACATGCAACTTTATCCAACTTACCTGATGCCCGTCTGGTGAATCGGTTTATCACTGGAGCTGAAAGAAAACACGACATTTCAATTAGATTATTTTTGTAATAGTCTAACACACTTTAAAAATAACAATGTTATACTTCATTCAAAGTGTGACAACTACAAAAATCTGTTAACCATTATTTTTGTATCTTTATAGAAACCCATGTTAACTTCATACACACTTAAACTTTCAAGCAGCTTTGCAAGAGGTATGGTACATAGTAACCAATAAGCTTTCAACAGCATTTTCAGCTTCTTAAGAGCTACTGTTACTTATTGCTGTTCATGACCAGCTGTGAAACATTTAGATCTGCATTTCCATTATTTATTGAGAGCACAGAAATTGGCATCTTGCAAAAAAATGATGCAAGCATGGATTAAAAAAAAGATGTAAAAAAATTAATTTTACTTTTACAAAAGATACCTATTAGAAATCCAGCACCAAAGATACTCCTATAGAGAAAAAGACTAATTTGCAATCCCATCTGAAAGGTCAACTTTTGCTTTGACTAACCTTTAAAATTCCTTGGGTAAGTCAATAACAATGCCAACCCCTGCCCAAACCCCAGTTTCACAGCACAAATGACTGTTTTATAGTGCCATCGTGGCACATCTCCAACTGCATGCTGCAAACATTTGGAATCAGACTCCTGCCTTGTTTCCAACTGGGAGAGATCGCAAAACGCATCTTAAAGCACACAGTTTTGCCTCTATTTCATTTCCAGGTTTACCAGCTTCTTCAAGAGCTACTAGAGATAAAATAGATAAAGAAATAAAGTTTTATGTTTTGCCTTCAAAATACAACCTTAAGTCTGCTTCTAATTAGTATGAAACACTGGTCTTGAACTCTAGTTTCATGTGATACATTAACTGCTGGAATAAACAGCAAGAAGAAAATCTGAATGACCTAATTTCAAATGTGGGCAGCAGCTACATTAAAAATGTATGCCCTTACAGTGCTTATTAATATTCAACCTTAAAAATTGTGCCTAATGCTTACATGGAATTGAAAAATGAAAAATATTGAACTTTTTTTATTTTATCCCACTTAATTTTACATGGGAGTTATGCATCATTTCTTGATGAGAAAAAAAAATTGCTGAGAAAACAGGAGAGAGAGTAACAGCTTGAGATGCAAACTGACTTTTTATTCCTTTGGGGAGGAAAAAAAAAAACAGAGCAAAGCTACAACTTCTGAACCACAGTCGCAGATGGTTTGTGCAAGCACATACAGTAGTGACAGGTCCAAGTGGCAAGAAATACACTGGGAAACCTGACCACA